ATAGGAATCTATCTTCTATCTCTCATCAGAGGCATATGACTGGATTGATGTTAGTTTCTCCAGCATATTACGTGGCAAACCTCTACCTGAGTTTTGTATGGCTGATATGAATTGCTGCGAAAGTGAAATTTTGTGTGCTGTTGTTCCTGCCAATGTACACAGTTAAAGTGTATGATACAAAACATTTACTAGTTTATGAAAGCGAAGCTATTTTGGTTGCTCCTTCTGTTATTTCATTTCTGCCGGGAGGAAATTAGGGGCCTGGTACATACATGACTTCGGAAATTCTCATATTGAAATTAATACTGAGAATATATACTTAATAAAATTAGCTATCTAGTCTTGGAATACTCTTTAACCAAAACCCAGTTCTCTAATTTGACTAATTGACACATGGGAGCTCAAATCGGAAAAATCAAAATCAATGAATACAAAATAAATGAGATGCCTAATAGGAGTCTCTTGGCAATCTACATCACAGTATTTATAAAGAAAGCTTTCCAGGCCTTCTCTGACTCAGGCCTGCCAAGGCAACAACAGATAAACAATTTTCTGCAGCTGTATTGAATGCAATCGAAAATATAGTGTTTTAGCAAGAATCAGGTTTTTCTGTTCATAAGGTTGGTTTTGGCAAGATTATGAGTTTCTGAAAAACTGCTTTTATGAACTGGGGTTCTTTCAAGATACAGCATATTATTAAGGAGGAAAATCATAAAACTAGAGAAGGTTGCAGCAGTTTTCTTTTGTTTGAGTCTGTTGTGAAGCGCCGCAGTAGCACAGTAGGTTAAACTGCTAGCTGCAGAAAACTGGTTAACCGAAAGGTTGGCAGTTTGAAGCTGCAGCCTGGGGTGTGCTCCCGCTTTTAGCCCTAGCTTCTGCCAACCTAGTAGTTCGAAAACATGTAATGTGAGTAGATCAATAGGTACTGCCCCAGCGGGAAGGTAAAAGGCACCCATGCAGCCATGCCAGCAACACAACCAGGAGGGGTCTATGGACAACAGGCTCCTTGGCATGAAAGATGGAACAAGAGCACCTCCCTGTGGCCAGAGTTGAGCATCACCTCCAGACGCAGAATATGGAAAGAAAAACTTTTGCCTTTGTTTGTGTATTGTTGTTCACTGTATAAAAATAGGCATTGCATGTTTGCCTCTATATGTGTATACTGTGATACGCTCTGAGTCCCCTTGGGGAGATAGAGCGGGATATAAATAAGTGTATAATGATGATGATAATGATGATGATGATGATGATGATGATGGTAATAATAATTAAGAGTACACCTCTTCCTCTCCTTTCCCTTCTGCTCTATTAGCTAAGTACAGGCTATTTTTGCATCTGAACACAGTTTGCAACAAGGACAAAAGGGGAAAGTGGGAAGAAAAAAGAAATACAGGGGCATTTTAAAAGCAGCCAAAATGGTGGACAGCTGATTACTAATCGGGACTTCCTCTGCCAATCTGGACACTTGGAGGGTATGATAGAGAGAATTAAGAGAAGTTGATCTACAGGCACTAACGAATGGATCTAGGCCTTAATGGTTCATTACAGAATATATATATTTCTTTTTTCTATTACATTACACAATCCCTTAGCTGTTAAGAATTTATGGAATAATACAAATTATTCTGGAGGACCACACTTTTCCCACCTGTTGTGTAGTTTATATAACAACTTTTTTGAAGATTGCTAAAATGGCCTAAGTATCTGTAAATACGCATTAATAAACAACTAATGATTCCTTTTACTCCTTGTGACTTATTTTTAAATAACTTGTCAAATGTCAGAATTGATACACAAGAGGTTTGTTTTTGGGGTTTTTTTTAAACTTTGAACATACTTCCTTGCTTTGTTCCTATTCCTTAACAGCTTTTTCACATAGGAATTTAGTTGGCAAAACTTTTCCTAGCATGATGAGAGCCAGGAAATAACTTTGTCTGAAAATAATAGGTTGCTCTGAGGCACAGTTGGAACTACAAAAAGTAAAGCAATGCTAAAATTAAAAGAAAATGTTGGTGTGATCATTGGCTAGTAACAATAGAAAATCCTTTAGATTGGCAAGTACACAAATAATTATATTTGTTGGAGGACCAATTGACTATATAAATATTCATAGAATCATAGAGTTGGAAGAGACCTCGTGGGCCATCCAGTCCAACCCCCTGCCAAGAAGCAAGAAAATCGCATTCAAAGCACCCTCGACAGATGGCCACCCAGCCTCTGTTTCAAAGCCTCCAAAGAAGGATCAACCACCAATCCACCTATTTCTTATGTACCACTGCGTGATCCCAAACCATTTGTGGGAACAGAATCATACAATTTAAAACTCAATATTTTTGTATTGCCCCAAAGAAAAATATATATATATGAATTTACAATTTTTTTAAGTAGTATCAAATTTAATGTAGGCTCCTATTGGGTTTTTTTAAATTAATTAAGCTAAATTTCCTTGACTACTGAGCTTTCCAGATGAGTTACTATCTGCATGCTTTTTTAAAAGCTTATTTGCATGTTAATTAAAATAGCTTTACTAAATTTGATCTGCTAAACCGCTTAGAGCTAAGATCTTGCAAGCAGATCTTAGAAGGTATTATCTGACTGCTGGGGTTTAGCCAAGTTCTTAATTAACCCTTAATTAACTCCCCCATTTAGAAAATAAGCACAATGTTACTAATTCTGGATTGACAAAAAATTAAGTAACTGAAGAAAAGGATATTGAAAGCAAAAAGCAATTTATTTTAGATCTCTTCTTTTAATTTTACCTTTAAGATTACTCTCTGTCCCTTTAAGAAAATAATAATAATAATAATAATAATCAACTAGAATGTATATCATAGTTCAGGAAGATTGCCATCAGGTGTAGGGGAATATGCTACATGTTTGATGAGCAAACTCAAGAAAATTACTTACAATAATTTTATTTTAGAAAATATAAATTATTGCAATGATGCAGTGGGGCAATTTTAGACACTAGGCTTCTTTTGATTGGAGGGTTTAGAATAATGGAATGACAGAATTGTTAGATTGAAAGGCTCCTCAAGGACCATCTAGTCCAATTCTTGCCTGTGCAGAAAATCTGCAGCTAAAACTTGCCTGACAAATGTCTAACCAATGTTAAATACCATTTAAGACAGCCTGTTCTACCATCCAAAAATATAAGTGACAATGTATATTACTTTACCAACTTCATACTTTATCACTGTTATACTAAAATGGTAGCATGGAGGTGTTATCAGAACCAAACTTTAAGATAAGTATCCAGGACTCCACTTAGCAGAGTGAGTAGATGGTCCCTAAAACGTGTCAGAACTGATAAGCCATTTACTCGCTCTGCTAAGTGGAATCCTGAACGCTTATCCTTAGATTTAGTTCTGATAATACCACCATGCTACCTTTCCAGTATGCCAGTACATCTATCCGAAAGGTAAGATAGACATTTGAAAAAAATGTTGTTGTGTGTTTCAAGTTGTTACCAGCTTATGACTAAGACATGGAGTTTTCTTGGCAAGGTTTGTTCAGAAGTGGTGTTGTGTTTACTTCCCTGATGGAGTGTGACTTGCCTAAGGTCACCCATTGGTTTCCATGTCCATACAGGGATTTAAACCTTGATCTCAGCAGTGGTAGTTGTAGTTCAGTGCTGAAACCACTGCACCATGCTGGCTCTCTTTGACAACTATAATAAGTTGTAATAAATAAATAAAAACCTATGGGACATGAAAAACATTGAATACTTCCAACACATGCAATATGGTGGAAAGCTGAAAGCCAATAAATGGTTCTAATTGAGTCAGTGACCGCACTGAAATCTTACAACTCTTGGGTCAGCTCATTTGTTCAGGCTTTATGCCCTCCTGGAGAAAGGGAAGGCCCTATGCAACTAGCCCAGGCATGGGCAAACCCAGGCCCATGGGACAGATTTTGGGGTCTCATGTCTGGTCCACGATTTTGGGGTCTCATGTCTGGTCCACGTCTGCCTCGGCTCTCCCCTCTCTGGAGCTCTTGCTAGCCACATGTCTCCTCCTCCTCTTCTCCATCTGGGAAAGTGGTGGGTCACCATCTGCCCAGGTGGAGAAGGGTATGGAGGGAAAGGCAGGTCATTGCTGGAAAGATCTCCAGCAACAGCCTGTCTCCTCCTCTCCTCCTTTTAGCCTGGGAATGTGGTGGGCCACTGTCTCCCCAGGATGGAAGGAGAACCAGAGGACTTGGCCGCTGCTTGCCTCACCCTTTTCCCAGCATCAGGATGATGCTGAGAGAAGCACGAACTGAGGGTGTAGGCAGGTGGCAGCAGAGGGGGCTTTGGAGTGCTGTCCGCTGCACTTGTCTTGACCTCCCCCTGGCCTTATGGCCCTGTCTTTATGCTGGGAGGACTGCTCCAGGAAGGTATGCAGTGGCTGAGAGCCCTCTGGAACACTCTCAGCCGCCACATGTCTCACGCTTCTCCCAGTGTATGGATGGGGTGAGCTGCCCTATCATGCTGGGAGGACAGCCTGAGGAAGACCCGCCCCCAGCCCTGCCCCTCCTGGCCCTACTTCGCCCCGCCCCGCCCCCTTCTGGCCCCATTCTCACCCCTGCCTCCTTCTGGGCCTGGCCTACCCTCCCCACTGGTCCAGCCCTCCTAGCTGGGCATGCAATGTGGTCCCAGAACAAAAATGTTTGCCCATGCCTGAGCTAGCCTCTAGCTTGGAGCTGAATACAGCTCCTTTTTTACAACTCCTTCCAAGGCCTTTGCCCACTCATAAATACTCATAGATGAGGATATGGATCCATAGTGTAAAAGGGCCAGTTCTTTGGGAGGGGTGCAGACTCTAAGGGTGCTGACTTCTCAGGATCTGAATCCAGAGTGTTGTTCTGTATTTGGTGCTACTAATATAGCACAACTGACTGGACTTTGTCACCTGGGCTGGAATCAGAGGCAAGGCTAATATTCAGACAGGGGACCTTGACATTTATAGGCACTCAAAGCAACATGGTAAACATTGCATAAACTACTTTGTGTCTTTCAGATTGCAAATACACATGCCATTCTTACTGTCAAGACATGGTGCATCTAGACTGTCAACAGAATGGAAAACCGATGGATTACAGCTCTAGATATGACGGTTCAGCTGACTCTGATGTTGGGACTGTAGTAAGTTCATCCTTACATACTATATTCTTTCTGTAGTAGTTTTCGTTAACTGTCATCAGCTCACCTTTGATCTATTGCAACCCTATGAATCAGAGACTTCCAAGTCACCCTGGCATTAACATTCCTGGACTGAGTCTATCCAATTGTAATGCGGTCTTTCCTACTGGCTTTTATCTTTCCAAGCATTATTATCTTATATAGTGAGCCCAAACATTTGTTCATAGTATAAGAGTCAAGTCACTTTGGCTCCTAAGGAGAGTTCAAGATTAATTTGCCCTAAAACCCATCGATTTGTCCTTTTGGAAGTCCAGGATATCTTTAGAACTTTCCTTCAGCACCACAGTTCAAATGAGTTGTTTCTCTTCCAGTCAGCTTTCTTCATTGTCCAGCTTTCACAACTGGACATATAAATTAGAGCTACAGTGACATGGCTAATGCTGACTTTCAAATTCAATGATATATCTTTACACTTGAGGATCTTGTCTAATTTTATCATAGCTGCTTTTTCAAGTCCTCTCTCTCTCTTCAGATTTTGTGACTGTAGTCTTCACTTTAATTAATGACTGAGTCAAGGTATAAGAAATTAGACAGTCTCAATGTCTTCACCATCTATATACAGCCTCTGTGGTCATTGTTTTTGTTTTCTTAACGTTCAACTGTAAACTTGCCTTCGCATTTTTTTATGTTACTTTCTTGAGTAACTGATCCAAATGTTTGCTCTTTTCTGCTGTTTAACCTAGGGCTTGAAAAGCAAAATAAACATTTCCCAGCTCAGTTATTAACACTTTTGTAAGCATTTATTTTAAACACAGAGGAGTTGTAACCCTATCAAAGATGACTTTCAAAACAAAAATAAATGTTTTCCAGGGTAATTTTGAATGTATGGCTTCATTTTACCTGCTCCTCTAACTGGTTAATTGAAGTGATTTTCAGTCCCTTACAACCAGGGTTATGCTATTCTCCATCTTCTCTAAAATAATAATCATATTAATACTACTAATAATCAGTAATGTTTTGGAATGGGAAAATGATGATTGACATTAGAGAACAACAAGGCAATTTTATTTATGTATATCTGGTTAGAGATAACCTCTGTTCAACTTAATGGCACTTAACAGCTTTAAAATACTGAGAGTGCATCTACACCAGTGGTTCCCAACCCCTTTTTGACCAGGGACCACTCTCCAACATTAGTACCAAAAGGGTTATGAATCAGTTTTTGGTCAACTTTAGATTTGGTTTGGTTATTTGGGGTGCTGATTCAGAAAATTGCATTAGATAGACCACATCAGCTCTAGTTCTGATACAGAACATAGGCCATCCAGTAGTCACCACCTGCACGCTCATAGAAAACTATATTTAATAATCTAAAGCTGATGTGGTAGTAGTAATCTTTTGTGAGTAGCCAGCCTCGCTCTTTCCAATATCCCAGTTGCCTCAGTACTATTAGAGGGTTTCGCGAGACCAATCGCTTTCGTTGCCTCATGGTTTCAAGGCAACAGTTTGGTAAATGTGAGACCGCAAGAATTTTCATTCTTGTGGACCACTGGTGGTCCACGGACCACAGCTTGGGAATCACTGATCTACACTGTAGAATGAATTATTTATATTGTCATTACTCAGTATTCTGAAATCATGGGAGTTGTAGTTTTACAAGGTCTTTAGCCTTCTCTGTCAAAGAGTTCTGCTGCTTCGCCAAACTACCATTCCCATGATTCCATAGCATTGAGCTTTGGAAGGTAAAGCAGAGTAAGTTGCCTTAATTCTAATGCAGGTGTAACCTGAGAACCTAAAACACCCCAGTCATGGTTATAAGGTTTTCTTCATGAGAGAACAGGGAAAGTGAAGTAATAGTTAGACCAGGGGTCACAAAAGAGCATATTCAGTGAATATTTCGTTTCCTGGCTACTATTGCTTGCACCTGCTGAGTCCTGATGGAGGACGTAGTGCAAGAGGAAGGAAAGGAGGAAATGGCAGGTAGGCAGATCTGATGTCTAGAGAGGCCACTCTTAAGCAGCCTGCAACAGGAAGGGTCAGCAAGTAGTACAATGAAAAAAAAAATATGTTGAAAGAAGTGTATTTGCTTTGGATCTCTTCCTCTTTGTCTGAAGGTCTGGAGGAAAAGATCTAGCCCTGCCATCTGAGAACCCTTACTGTATGTATAAAAAAAATCCAAGCTTGATTGTTTTGATGCCCTTTGAGAATCCATTCCTGGTTTAGAAAACAGCTTGGAAATTGATTTGTCATTCAACAATTACCATATATATTGGAATATAAGCCAAGTTTTCAACCCTTTTTTAAAGCCCCACCCCCACCCCCCGGCCAATACTCGAGTCAAAGTTATTTATTATTTTACTCTGTTGTTGTTACATTTATTATTTTACTCTGTTTATTATTATTATTACATTTATATTATTTTCCTCTATTATTATTGTATTACTTTTATTATTTTCCTCTATTATTATTACACTTATTATTTCACTCTATTATCAACACATTTATTATTTTACACTATTTTTATTATTAAATTTATTTTTACTCTATTATTGTTATTACATTTATTATTTTATGTTATGTATTATTATATTTATTATTTTACTCTATTATTACATTTATTATTTTACTCTATTATTAGTGTTATTATTCCATTTCCTATTTTATTCTCTTTGTTATTATTGGAAGGATATGTAAGCGCATTTACAAGTAAGAAGGTTAGAATAATGGTTCAATCAGAGTTGAAGAGTCATATCTTAAATTACAGTTTTATGTAAATATTCAAAAACATTTAACCTACTGATGCCTTAATTAATGTAATTTTATTGGTATCTATTTTTATTTTCAAATAAAATGAAAGCTGCTGAATTTCCCACCCTCAACTTATAGTCAAGTCAATATGCTTTTGCAGTATATAGAGCAATTGTTTTCTGATTTTGTCACGTACTCTAAGGCAATGAGAATTTGTAAACAAGGTGGACACAAATTTGTAAACAAGATGGGCACAAATGTGCACATTCCTGGAATTGGCTTTCTCATACCTGTTTGCTGTTGAATAATTTGGGCAAAAAATATTTTTATTTATTTATTAACAGTCAAGATTTATTATATGCCATGCAGGACACTTGCATATTTCTAACACATGCTCACCAGTTTGGTTCTGAAGTGAGACTGGAGCTTTGCTTCTGTCACTATATGGAAAGTCAGAGAAATGGCCATGATATATGCCAACTCTTCTGTCTTGCTTCCTGAATTCACTGCTTCATTTCTGTCCGTTCTGCCTTTCAGTACTCCAACAGTTTATTATAAATTCATATTGTATTTACATTCTGGACTTCTCACAGCTACCAGTCAAAAGTTTTATTTATGAGTGGAGATTCTCTCCACTGAAATGATAAAGATTCCCAGTATACACAATGCATAAATGATACATTTCATGTAGGTTTGGCCTTATTCCATCTTGAGTGAAAGCAATCTCTCTCTTCAAGTCTTAACACTGCATGCAGGCTCTCAATAGAGCTATTTAACAGCTGCGAAGAGACTTGTGGACTTGAGTTTTGGCAGGACTAGGGTGCTGTAATACAGCATACCATATAACAATTGTTTCTTTTTGAGACTTGTAAAACTGGCTACAAAGGGATTGTGTTCATGTGCCTTCTTTAGTCATACACTCGCTTTAAAAATATCCTAGTTTCATTTTATCATGTACTTGTTGGCATGAAGCTGCAATTAAAACTACAGTAGTTGTTTTATGAGATAACTAAAACTTAACAGTTCCTGGTGGTAGGAATGACACAAGAAAGTAGCCAGGAATTGGTTTGCTGGGTATTATATTAAAGTTTAAGAAGCTTCCCATGGCAAAAATAAGGATTTTAACCCATTATGTTGCACATTGTTACGTGCTTTCCAGTAGAGTCTCGCTTATCCAACCTTCGCTCATCCAACGTTTTGTATTATCCAACGCAGTCTGCCTCGCGCCCAGATCCACAGCTGTTTCAATACATTGCAATGTTGTGGTGCTAGATTCGTAAATACAGTAATTACTACATCACATTAGTGTAGTGTTTCTCAACCTTCCGAATGCCTCGACCCCTTGATATAGTTCCTCATGTGATGATGGCCCCCAACCATACATCCAGAGAGCACTGTGGACTCAAACAATGGTGGATCTGGACCAAACTTGGCACGGATACTCAATATGCCCAAATTTGAATACTGGTGGGGTTGGGGGGGGGGGGTTGATTTTGTCATTTGGGAGTTGTAGTTGCTAGGATTTATAGTTCACCTACAATCAAAGAGCATTCTGAACCCCATCTGCACTGAAATTGAACCAAACATGGGACACAGAAAAGGACAGTGGAAGGATTTAGTGGGTATTGACCTTGACTTTGGGGGCTGTAGTTCACCTACATCCAGAGAGCACTGTGGACTCAAACAATGATGGATCTGGACCAAACTTGGCACGGATACTCAATATGCTCAAATATGCTCAAATGTGACCCTCAGGTTGAGAAACACTGTGTTAGTGTGTATTGAATTGCTTTTTCTGTCAATTTGTTGTACACATGATGTTTTGGAACTTGATTTGTAAAATCATAACATAATTTGAGTTTAATAGGCTTTTCCTTAATCCCTCCTTATTATCCAACATTTTGTTTATCCGACGTTCTGACAACCCATTTATGTTGGATAAGAGAGACTCTACTGTACTATAACCATATCACTGGCAAGATTCAGCGGAGGTTTGCCACTACCTTCCTCTAAGGCAGTGGTTCTCAACCTGTGGGTCCCCAGATGTTTTGGCCTTCAACTCCCAGAAAGTCTAACAGCCAGTAAACTGGATGGGAATTCTGGGAGTTGTAGGCCAAAATACCTGGGGACCCACAGGTTGAGAACCACTGATCTAAGGCTCAGAAAGTGTGATTTGTTCAAGGTTTCTATAGTTTACCCAAGGTTTCATCTCCATTTTTTGGAGGTCTAGTTCAACATTACCACTATACTATACT